TTTAGCCAATCTGACCTAAACTTAAAGTTTCATAAGAGTTCTGACCTGAACTCATCTATATGCCAATATTCAGTCATGGTGCCACCTACTGGCAACAGGAAGTAAGCCTCATATGGCAATTATCATTACACAATACATAATGCGTCACATGTGCCAATGGACGCGGACTGTGTCATTCCCATCAACCTCGGCTACATTGTGTGTTTTGTATTAATTAGCAGATGTTTGATGCTAACACACTAAACTAAGATGGTGAAAATGGTAAACATTATGCCTGCTAAACATCAGCATGTTAGAATTGTCATTATATGTTCGCATGCTGACGTTAGCATTAGCTGAAAGTGCGGCTGTCCCTAAGGACGGCCTCACAGACCTGCTAGCATGACTATAGACTTATATGTAGTCTTATTGGCCTTGTTTAAATTTTAAATTGTGATTACACTTCAAATGAAAAACATCTAAGAGAACCTCAACAGTTTTAACAAGTTGGCCATCAAGTACTGCAAAGCCCTCCTCAGAAGTGTGTATTTACCCTGTAGGATCAATTTGTTTTCTTTTATTCTCTTCAGCATCATGTTCATCGCCGTGAACTGAATCTTTTTTGCTCGGGCGCTGACACCTTGTGTATTTCATGCCAATAAAGCGCCTTTTGAAATGAGCTGGAGAGTGAGGATAAAGGATAGAGGTAGGGAAAAGCCAAAAGCAGTGTTTTTGTGTTGTGTTGTTTTCCCCTCCAGCTGCAGTAAGGGTGGATGTGTGAGCCTCCTACGCGTTGTCAGATTCCATCCCAAACTGTGTGGCAGCTGGAGTGACTTCACTGCCCATCAGGCTTCACTCGACGCTCCCACGAGTGTGCTCGCTGCATTAAGTGCTCCTGTGAGCACCTTCTGGTGAGTTCTGACGCAGCAAATAAATGTAGTAGTGACGTATTCAAAGGTCCGGTGTGTAACATTTTTGAGGCTCTATTGGCAGAAATGGAATATAATATTCATAGGTATAATCTGATTTAATTAGTGATCAGAAGACTGGATTCTTCCATATTAGTGTATAATCACCTGAATATAGGAATTGTTACTTTAGAATGAGCCGTTTTTATCTAGTCGTTGTGGGTCACCTTCCATTCCTGCTCTCATTCCCAGGTTGTTATATACAGACACCAGC